GTCAAAGCTTGAATTCTGCCGATCTGCGGCATCGTGGGCTGGCCAAGATTGTTGCTGCAAGAGAGAGTTTGATAAAGAAGATGGTAGTGAAATTGGTGGGTTTCCGGAGATTAGGGTGTCGGAGTATACGGATGAGATAGAGGATGTCGCGGAAGACATGGGTAAACTACAAATTGAGAGGTGTGGGAGCAATTCTGATGATTCAAAACCAATGGGGCCCAGAATTCCGCTGCCGTGGGAGCTTTTGCAGCCAGTGCTTAGAATTTTAGGACATTGTTTGCTGGCTCCTTTGAATTCGCAAGATGTCAAGGATGCAGCTTCCGTTGCTGTCAGGTGTTTATATGCAAGGGCTTCTCATGATTTGGCACCGCAGGTAATATTGGCCACCCGGAGTCTTATTCAGCTTGACAACAGAACTCGTGCGGCTGCAAAGGCTGCTGCTTCAGCAAATTCTTCGTCTAATGCTAATACACCCAGCAAAGATAAGAAACCAGAAATCCTATTGGTCTCAAAATAAACGTTCTGAATGTCATTTGGTTTGCAGGTAACAGATGTTGTATAGTGGATCTGAAGCGGTTGAACATTACTTTCTTTAGGATAATACTGTTTGAATGTCTGTAATCTTGTATGATGGTTAAATTTCTCACTAAGCTACAAGCTTTTTGAGTTGTACTTTCATAGGATTTTACAGTACTTGTGTTCCGTGGCTGAGTAGACCTCTTTGGTTAGAAGTTCATGAGCTTGCTTATACATGGAGGGGGTTTTTTTTTTTCATTCTTAATATTTTTTTTTAATTACAGTTGGTGTGTATTGTCAAGGCTATAAATAACTCAAGTTTTATACGTTGTCGTGTGATTCATTTTGATAGTGATTATTCAAATTTATGTCACATACAATTCATTTGGGTTTGTTTATTTAATCTATAATAATGTTCATTAAGTTGAGCAGCTTGAGCAGCTTGAGCTGAGTTTCTTCTCTTGATTTTAGTTTGGAAATTTTGATTATACATTCGATAAATTATTCTTCTTTGTTGGTAATGGTAGATGGTATTTGTTGTTTACGTGTTTAAGATTCTACTGATTAGTTTGCCCCTGAAATGACATCCTTTGATTTAGTGGTTTATGATCTGGTGGCAAGGCCGGTGTCTGCTATCATGTATGGGGGCATGTTATTCTAAGTAGATTAGTTGTCTGTTTTCCCTGAGATCTTTATTCTTCTTATCTTTTATGCTGTCGGCCGACCTTTTACAACAGTCTCCAGAGTCAGGAAGTTTTCTTAGGGAGGGGTAAAATTTTACATTAAGTTTGCTAGGTTTTTATATATATAGTTTTTCCGATTCTAAATTTATAGGGGGAGGGATGAAATGAGAGGAATAAAATCAAGTATTTTATATGTACTTTTTGAATTACAACAAACTAACAGGAGCACCCGTCCTTCCTTATGTGCTCCGCCCCTAGTTGTATCAATATCAAAGCATTATGTCATAAGTAGTTAAGTCCTCATTGTAGATCTTTTGTTTGCCTCCTGTTTATTTTCCTTCTTTCTTTCTGTCTTTCTCTAAAACCACCTTCTCCTCCTGTTCTCAAACCAGAATCTACCTTAGTCCCACTCTATTTCTCTTTTAAAGGTAGAACTTAGGCCTGTCTATTTGTTTGGCTCCTTTTTCTTCCCTCCTCTCGAGCCACCATCTATCTTACTATTTTTTTTTTCTTTTTAAGATAGAACTTAGGCTTGTCTTTTTGTTTGCCTCCTGTTTTTTCTGTTCTTTCTCAAGCCACACTCTATCTTACACCCTCTCTGCTTCTCTTTTTAAGAATTCTCTGAGGTTTACTGGTCATTTACTGTCCTTCTCTCTCTCTCTCTTCAAATCACTATTCTCCTCCTCAATGACGATGAAGTGGGATGATACTTCGGGTGCTTCTGTTGATTTTTTCCATGTCCTTGTAAAGTGAGGATATCTCAATCATAAACAGCCATGGTAGGTAGGTTTCATGTTGAAACGTAGCCGTGGGAATGATATGAATCCTGGCAGAGAAAAACACTGTGCATAACATTTACAAGATATATTGTTTGCAAGAATCTAGGATTGAGGATTCCAAAAATGTTTACTCCTTAGGTGTCAAATCACTTTAGGGGAATAAGTTCAAATTTCGTTTTTTCTTTTAAGGTGAAAAAGTATCTTTTGAATTTCTTGATAAACAAAATGTTGTAAAATTAAGTGGTTGCCTTGGGAGATTGGTTGAGATGAACGTAATTGTTTGTCCACCTCTTTTAATATGGCTGGGATGTTGCAGGTTTTATCCCTTAGTTTGGACCCTTGACGTTGATCCTGTGAAAATTTGTTCAATTTTTTGTTCCATTGAATGGGTAGGATGGTAGGTTAGTTGATTTTGCTCTATTTGTGTTATGAATACTATTTTTTTTTACTGAATGGGAATATGTGTATCAGAAACATATTCCATCCAACAGGGATTATACATGTCAATGAAACCTCTAAAGGATCATTGGAATTTGAAAGGGGAGGGGATTATTCACTTTTTTGTTGCCATTATTTGTTGTGTTGTACCAAATCAACCAATAATATCAATGGTGTTAATGGAATATATAAAATTATGATTCAAATTCAGTGATGTGATAATATATATATTTTTTAATTAGTGACTAAATTGTGACTAAATAAGCACAATTGTTAAATTTAAAAGTTTGTAGATTAAAATTGTAATTTAACGTTTCATGTATATGCAAGAACGACGAGCATATATAAATTTTTGGAATATTTTTGGATGAGCATTATTATAAATCCAGTAATTGAATATTTTAAATTAATCTCAAAATTTATTGTTATGCAGTAAAGATCTAAAAGCACACATCACACGCTTATTTGCTAAATAAATTATTACTATTTATATTTTTTCTAGTTCTTCCAAGTGCTAGATAACTTCAAGGAGGGTGTGAGTTTTTTTCTTCCAACCAATGGATTAGAACCCAAATATTAATTTTGCACCATAAATGAGTTTGCCAAAAAGGTTAAAAAAAAAACCCATAGGACTAGATTGATAATATTTATGTAATAATCAATCACCTGTCACATTCGGAGAAATAAAGACTCGCAAATCTGATTAAAGGACCACTCACCGTACGTCAATGGTCCTATCACCAAAGACGCACTTCTCCTTTAAATTCTTCTGCTCTTGTTTCTATATCTGTACTTAAAAAAACAGTTGTGCACTAAAAGAGATGCAAAACATGGAAGGCCACACACATTTGATAGCAGTTAAAAAGTTTAGCAAATTCCAATGCTGATCTTGTCTCATATGATCCATATTGTGAGCAGATTACATCACATATCTTGTCTCTTGCTGCTTTTTCAAACACCATATTTCATACTTTGAAATCTCTTCCAGAACTTTTCAAATATATACAACCTTTTGAAAGGGAAGAGGAGATCAATCATTTGCACTCAAAACACTCAAATCTGTTCAATAAGTACAACTACAAATTGACATGGCTTTACATGTCTAGTACCTGTTAAGCTCAAGCTGGATTGTATTGTAAACAGTGTCAAAAAATCATCCTTGTACCACAGCTGGAATATCCCTTTTTCAATAGAGAAAAAAGGGTGCATCACCCTTGTTTCTATCTATAAGATGAATATAAAAAATTCAGATTGTTGAGCTGTAATATAATAGGAACTTGAAAACAAAGATGGTTTTGATCTCATCGACATCCTTTAGTAGAAATCTGTTGCCACTCAACATTTGCTCAGAGTTGGACTTTTGAGTATGGAGTTTTCTTTGCTTTTCATTGCAGCCACTCTGTTATTTGGCTCTGTTGCTGCTCAAAATGATGCTCTTATTGGCTTTAATGGAGAGGAAAGAGAGGCTCTTTATGCCTTGAAGGAAACTTTCAATGACTCTTTTCTTAACAGGAACTGGAGTGGAACTCACTGCTACAACAATCAACCTCCTCTTTGGTATGGCCTTCAATGTGTCGATGGCCGAGTCGTGGCGCTATCGTTGGATAGTTTGGGATTGGTGGGGAATATGAATGTCAATGCATTGAACAAGTTCAATGAGTTGGCTGCATTGAGCTTGAAGAACAACTCCTTATCAGGAAACTTATTCGATTTCTCTTCCAACCGGAAGCTTAAGAATGTCGATCTATCGTTCAATGCGTTTAATGGGACGATCTCGCTTTCGCTCGTGAGTCTAAATTCATTGCAGTCGTTGCAACTTCAGAACAACAGGCTTACAGGTTCAATCCCTGAACTCAACCAGTCTTCTTTGGGAGTATTCAATGTCTCAAACAACAATCTCAATGGTTCCATCGCAAGAACGAAGACTCTTCAATCGTTTGGACCGGACTCCTACAGTGATAATCCTGGCCTCTGCGGTCCACCAACCGATGTCATCTGCAGGTCAATCATAAAAGGGTCAAATGACACAGCAGCACCTCCTGATACTAAAAATGCCCCTGATGATAGTTCTTCTACCAAGTTTCATCCCACTATGGTACTAATTCTTGTTATTGTTCTTTTTTTCATTGTTAATCTATTGCTTCTCCTTCTCTACCTCAAGAAACATAGAGAGCTAAAGGAGGTCATGAAGCAACTAAACACTGTCGAAATGAGAGAGAAGAAAAATGAAAATACAACAGAGATCTCATTCCAGAACCAAACGCCTGCAGCAGATGAAGGAGGGAAACTCATCTTCATGGAAGAAGGAGAAAATTTCCAACTTGGAGATCTTCTAAAAGCTTCTGCTGAGGGACTAGGCAAGGGGGTATTTGGGAATAGTTATAAGGCTATGCTAGAAGCTAGGCCACCTATAGTTGTGAAGCGGCTTAGAGATTTAAAACCATTAAGTGTTGATGAGTTCATGAAGCAAGTACAACTTATTGCTAAGCAAAGGCATCCAAATCTGCTTCCACTTGTTGCATATTTCTACACCAAAGAAGAGAAGCTTTTGCTCTACAAGTATGCAGAAAGAGGAAACTTGTTTGATAGAATCCATGGTATGCTCTATAGATTCTCATTCTTCCATTCTATAAATTGCAATGGATATGACTCAAGTCATGTAGATGAAAACAGCAAGGAGTCAACTGAATGACCAAAGCATCGGTTGCTTCCACTTGTGGCCTTCTTCAGCTTTTTTTTATTCTCCTATTTTTTACTGTAGTCACATCCTCATAAATAGTTCTATGATCTCGGCTAATTTCAGTCTTTCAGTAGTGAAAGCATAACTCATGTTGGTAGTTATTTAACTTCAAAGATTTAATACCTTCTTATGGGATCGGTTTCGAAGTTGTTTTGAACTTATCAGTTAGAAGTTATCTTTTTGAATTGGAGACACTTTCTTTAGGTGAGTATCTGGTTGTTGGGCTGGTTTTTTGTATGCCCTTGAATATAAATTCTTTTTTGTTCACATTTTTCTCAATGAAAATTCGGTTTCTTTTCTAAGGAAAAAAAAAATCAAAGAATTGACATTCATTATACAACACAGGAGGGAGAGGCGTGGGCAGAGTTCCATTCAGGTGGAGTTCACGATTGATCGTYGCTCAAGGCGTGGCACGAGCTTTAGAGTTTCTCCATCTCAATACCAGGCCAAATAACATTGTCCCACATGGAAACTTGAAATCTTCAAACGTTCTACTTGGTGAGAATGATGAAGTTCTTGTTTCAGATTATGGCTTTACTTCTCTTGTGGCCCTCCCTGTTGCAGCACAACACATGACTTCATATAGATCACCTGAATATCAACAAATGAAGAGAGTGTCAAGGAAATCAGATGTTTGGAGCTTTGGCTGCCTTCTTATTGAACTCTTGACAGGAAAAATTTCGTCTCACTCAGCACCAGAAGGATCCCAAGGCATTAATTTGTGTGCTTGGGTGAACAGAGCGGTCAGAGAAGAATGGACAGCAGAGATATTTGACTCAGAGATTGCATCACAAAGATCAGCTATTCCAGGAATGCTAAATCTGTTACAAATAGCAATTCGTTGCTCCAATACTTCGCCTGACAAACGACCAGACATGACTGAAGTAGTAAGAGAGGTAGAAAGCATCAGGCTCATTGAAAATGGAGAGGAATATAGCTCCTCATTCGATCGATCATTAACTGATGATTCAATGTCGACAGTTGGTTCAGGCATTGCAATAGATGAGAGATGAAAGACATAACTACTTCAAACAAGGAGTATAAGGCTCGTCCTAGCATCATATCTTATTATTATAAGACTCATCTTAGCATCATATCTTACTATTATAAAGCTCGTCCTAGCATCATATCTTATTATTATAAGGTTCGTTCTAGCATCATATCTTACTATTACAAGGCTCGTCCTAGCATCATATCTTATTATTACCAGACTTGTCCTAGCCTCATGTATTATTGTTATCTTTTCTATGTGATACAAATAATGTAACAAACTACTTATTATTTCTCTAGGTAATACAGATTCCAAAATTAGTAGTTTGCTACAATAATTTGAATTGAATTATACCAAGTCTCACTAGTTTAACCTCTTCAATTTGAGCATTTTTGACACTTYCAATATGCTTGCTTGGAATAATTTTTAGGAATAATGTTTTAAATGAAGCACTTTCTAATTAACATTTTCAAAAAACAAAATATATTTTGATTAAATACTTCCTGCTAAAACATTTTCTGTGTCTACATATCCAAATTTCTCATACCTAATTTTCCTGAATAGATCTTATTTCTAATAATTTCGCTATTGTTTCAATTGTTATAGTTAAGAATCTAGACTGACAAAAAATCGAAATGAAAGCAGATCACCTTCAAATGAATACTCTGAGATAGAATAAAAAAAATTGATTTGGATTGATTTGCTTCTAAAAGTTTGGAACAATTAGAAGATTAAAAAAATGAAACTTTTTGTCATAACCAAAATTTTTCAACAAAAAATGATCAAGAACAAGCCAAGAAAAAGGTTGAGTGGATAATCTTAATGATGATGAATCTCAAATTCTCAATCTCAATTAGAATCCAAATGGCATATAGTACTTTACAAATTGTCACAATGGGAAGAGGGTGTAGCAGAAATTTCTTCCATCTCACACTAAACTTGCTTTTTCCCTCTTTTTCTTTTTCTTTTTTTCTCTTTTTTTTTTCTCTCTTGGGCGGAGGGGCGAGAGAACTTGATTTTAACCTCAGTTTGAGAATGAATCTTTCTGTAAGAAAGATATGTTTTAGAACAACACGTATGAAATGATGACACAATTGTAATTTGATTCTCAAATGGAAGGGCAGCAGCTTAAACAAAACTGGACTAACGTGAAAGAAAGAGCTGAGATGAGACATCATCCAAATTTTCCAATTCCAACCTTCTTCTTCATTTTTCTTTGACCGTGATATATGAATGCATCTACAATTCCTGCAACACTGAAAATACCTGCAAAACAGAGGTCGATTTGAGCTGGTATGGTTTGAGGGATAGTAAAAAGGCAGTAGAAATAGCAGCAGTGAAGAGCTTAAGATCTATCAAGTCTAAATAACAGCAAATGGTTCAAATGAGTCCTCAAATGCCCATCCTACCTAATTGGCGTAATTTGTATCTAAAGAATCCTAATGACCTTACTTGAACAAGATCTATTCTATAGTTTGAACCTCAGTGTCCTTGAGTTCTAAGAATTCTGAAACTTAACACTGCTAGTTTTTTCATTGTCCTCTCCTCTCACATAGAAACTTTGGTCCTGTTTTCAAGAGTACCATATGGTTCGGTTGTTCCTCATTCTGACTATACAATGTCTTCACCAACTTGTCAATGGTCACCCCTTCAGTTGACAGCTAGGATACTGTGAGATTGTACTGTCAAAACTCTTCAGCGAGCAGTGTGGTTGGAAACAACTCATCCACTCGATGGTTCGATCCCCACAGCAATATATGCTGTTTTTATTTCCTTTCTTGGTATTAAATGTCTTGTGCTGACATGTAAAAAATCTCATAATAACTCTTCCACACTTCATCTATCAAGATAACACTCTCTCCCAGTACACAATTGTATCTTTTATCTTCAGGGGGAAAAGAATGGTTAGTGAGAAGTTTGTTTCCTATTAAAGAAGAAAAAAAGAAAAGGCTGGTTCAAAAAGGATTTCAAAATATTCTTTTTTATGGAAAAAATTCATCAAAAGGATTACTATTTTTTTCGGAGGGAGAGAGAACAAATGGAAGGAAAAAGACAATAACGTGAAAAAATGACATGACCAAGACAGCAATTGATGTATGGGGTGAAAGAAACCATGTGTAAGCAAACATATAAATATACGTGTACTTATTCCGGGTTGGGATACACGGGGTTGGGAGGAAGAAGAGGTGGAGAAAGGAGAGAGTATGATACCTCCAACTATAGCACAAATATGAGTTATGAAGTGTAAAAATGGAACATGCTCCTCTGTGTAGGTCACCTGAACAATGCATAAAAAAAGAAGTCAAACACAGATTGCAATGTGCGAAGCAATAAGGAGACATATAAACTTAGGTGAACTGTGAGGTAAGAAATAGCAGATTGTCATCTCCATAAGTGACAGCTTACAATGAAAACTATTATAATACTTGTTTCAAGAACACTTTGGATGTAGATAAATTTCACCAACCTTAACAGGAGAAAGGTCATAAAAGAAGAAGACTCCAGGTATAAACTGAGAACTACCGAACTCCACATTCTTAAAATGCTCAGTTACAGAATACTGCACAGAATCATTAGTATGAAGCTCAGGACATCATCCAAGATAAAACATAACATGCATAAGTTCATCTCCAAGGCCTTTCAGTAATACCTGATTTGACTGAACAGTACGACCTCTGATGTCTTTATATATAGTTGGAACCACCTGCAAAAAGTAGATATATTCAGATTTCGTCCTAATAACTTTCAAGTACCAGAGAGAACATTGCACCCCAAAAGCCATCTAGCAAAGTTTTGTGAGGATCAACGAATGCTGCTGTAATAGATAGAGGCAGATCTAAACTACCACACTCATCATACACAATATTGGATTAACCAGCTTTAAATTGTAATAGCACTTTACCAAGTGTCAAAATTACTCTCCAGATGAATTTTGGATTACCTGCAAATTGGTGAGAGGAGGATTTTTCTTTTCCCCACAAGTGAATTCATGACATGTCAATTGTGTGAAAGAGGACTTTATAAATGAAAAGTGGGAACTTCACTTTTTGTGGATGCCTTCCTCTCATCATCACGTAGTTTTAATTCCCACAAAAATATATTTTTTTATTCATAATTTTAATGCAGAAGTAGTGGTGCATCATCGTCAGCTAGCTCCAAGAATTCTAATCAGATAATATATCACGCATCCAAAGAAAATATGTGTTCAAGTCTTGAAGGGGTAAAGAATTCTAACCTTGACAAAATATTGGTGCATGACATTCTGTTTATCATATTCCCAATGCACCCTGAACAAGTGATGGAAGTTAATCTTAGAAGGGGGTAAGTATACTAAGTAAAATTGATTCTGTTATAAGAATCACTGATTTTATTAAATTGAGTGAACATTAGGTTTGATGAGCAAATAAAAAATAATAATATATTCATTAGGTGAGAAAATACTTAACAGATACTGGTAAGAAAATAAGGTTGGTGAAGAATTAACTAGAAAATATAAAGCTAAAAAGGAAACAGTCCTGCTTCAGCTAAAGCTACTAATAGTACTAGAATGATTTTCAACTACTAAACATCTACAGAGGAGGTGAAAAAAATAATTACCCATCAAGTGGGTTAACCAAGCCATGATAGTGGTCGCCAAAAGCTAATCTTTTTATTCGGTGACTTACCTGCATCACATAGATGAAACATAAAATGCAAAGAATTAAAAGAGAAAAAAAGGATGAGAAATATATATCAGAGTAGAAAAAGTAAACTGATCATAATCGATGCTGGGACTATATGCATGCTTTGTGTATTATGTGTTTCAAAACACAAAAAAGTATAATGCAGTACATTGTAATCGCTCGTCTGCAATTCCAGAAAACCAAAAAAATTAAAACTTGACTGGTGAAAGCTTTTCCCAGGAACGAAGTGAAAACTTCCAGCCACTTTATTAACTTCAAGAGACCCTTCAATATTACACCCTTCACCTTCTTCATCCCTCACCTTCTGTAGAAAATCTTCTCGTTTACACTGAAAATCAAAGACGTACAAATATTAATTGGCCACAAAAATGAACAACACAATTAACTTGAGTAGCTTGGAAAGAACACTTGAAAACAAAGTGCAGAGAGAGTTATCCTCTGTTTCACGCAACAGTTAAGATCACCAAATTAGCAGTGTGAATTACCTGAATTTAGACATTGAAAACTTATAAATCTAGACAGGCCATTGTACATATAATACTATAACTAATAGTACAGCCATCTTTTCCTCCTCAGAACTTGAAACAATGCCTCAGTCAATAGTCAGTATTTATAATTCTCGATTAATCCAAAAACAAAAGACGGAAGAGAAATAAATGTAAGTGGATGACTTCTGTCCTTACACTAGCACCTTATCACATCAAACTAATCTTTGGACAATTTTACAAATAACAGAACTAAGGGCCTCAAAAATTGAGAGATAGTAGGGTAAGCTGGCAAAGCTGATTGAATCAAAGACAGTCACTTTCGAAAACAGGATCATTCTTGTCTTTYCTTTCTTCTTATGAAGAATTGACTCTTAAGTTTGGGTAATGTCACACAGTAGATAAATAATAGAGACTAGTTGGCTAAGAATAATAAATAGAAATAGTAATGATATACATTCTTCTTAAAATRTATATTTTAATAAATGCGTTCTTGCTTAATTAATGACATAGATTTTTAAGAAAATGAAGTGTCAACATGTTCGTGTCTTGTCGTGYTTGTGCTTCTCTTTGTCTAAGACTTACAAGGCCAACCCCCTTCCACAAGGGCATCTGCCCCCAACTTTTGACCAGCCACAGCAGTCAATTCAAGAAAATTATTTTGAGCACAGGACAACGACCATTGAATTAGGAGTCCTCTAAAACACTCCTGCAATCATCTTCTTCTAACAATGTCTGATCGAAGTTGCTTGAAGAAAACGTGATACCTAATTTGACTCACTTCTCCAGGGTCTAGAGTTAAATTCAACAAGCCTTTGAATGAGCCTTTCCCCTAGGCTCAAATTATAACATTCAAGGCCCACCGCCCATCATATCTTCTCCAAGCACTAAACTAACCTTTTTCGTAAAAGAGGAATCAACAATCACGAAATTATTGCTCCTGGTAACACAACCTCCTTTTCAATCATATGAGAAATTTTATTGAGAGTAATCTAGTACGAAATGAATTAATCTTCTTTTCTACCCCAAAGCCATCTCCCTTGACTTCTGTTTAACCTTTTGCATCCACCAGGAAAAGGCCATTGGCCAGATATAAGAAGAAAATTGTAGCATCCTTGTCAAAGGAGCCATGAACACCAATTTAGATGTTGGTATAATAAAAATTAAATTAATCATTTATATAATTAATATTGAGCAGATGCTCTGTGGTCACCTTTTAATTCTAGAACTTGAATGCTAAGATCATATGGGAAAAGGTGATCTTAACATTTTTTTAATTTTTTTTTACCTTTCAAGTTTTGTAACTATGATTTGTTCATTAGTTGGATAAATTTTTGTAATCTCTTTGGTGGCTGAGGGCTGATGCCTAATTTTTTGTACTCCTCTTTTCACACATGAATTTTCATCCATCTAAAAAGGATGATACAAAATTAGAAAGCAATCAAGTAATCCAAGGGTTGGCACAGGGTAAAAGTCTAAATTTCTGTGTTCAGGAGTTCAAAATTGTTTATGGTCAGAGTCTGAGTTTCCTAGAACAAGATGCTGCAAACATTCTTACTCCATCGACATTGTTTTAAGTTGGCAAGGTCGCAAGGGCTTGAGTTCTCTTGATGATAACGGCTTAGAGGCCTCAAGTTTGAATCTTCGGGTGAGCTTAATACCTAAAACTCTTGTGTCTCTCGGGTCCAGGCTTTGGTGCCCCTGGGTATAAGGGAGTATTATCATTAAAAAAAACCCTCCTAGGGAGTAAATAGCCATGCTTATGTACAAGGCATGCAATCCCAACCTCATTGACATTCTTCAAAAAATCCTGGCATTTTTCCCTCCTTGGTGGGACTGCACCTAATGACTAGATACCTGGTTGCATTCCCATGCAGCATATAATATTAACAAAATGGCAGTTATTACAATCTGACATACCTGGTCTATCAGATCCTGATTGGTAATTGCCCAACCTCTCTTTCGGTATGCTTCACGAACTTCTTCACATGAATTACAACAATCATCATCTGACTGCAAACAAGATATGGGAGAAACCCTTCACATTTCTGATACAAATTTCAAAAAATAGGTGGAAAAATAAAATTAATAATCAAAAGCAGCAAAACCGTAAATGGCTTTTATTTCAGCAATGTGCCACAGTGCCAAGTAAGTACCTCATAAGCTATGTACTTTCTGAAAGTAAGAAACACATGTATGATGTGGAAAAGGAAATGAATAGAATAACAACGCTCTAAGAAACCAAAATGACTAACAAAGTTATAAAGTAAAGCAAAGCAATGCAAACCAGAAAAGGTGTTTTTAATAATAAAAAACCTCATTTCTGCTCCAGAATCATAATCAAAGCTACACAAAGAATAACACCACGACCACAAAGCAAAACAAGGGATACCAGATAACCACAAGTACCTCTTCCGCTCCAAAACATGAACCACAGTATGTTTCATTGTGCTGCAGCCTGCCACCATGCTTCTGCAACGGTTTCTCAATCTGGAGTATGAAAAACAAAAAATGATCAAATAGAAAGAACAAACAATAACCAAAAGAAAGATATACAGAAAAAAGAACAGGTGGTGAAACTTTTTCTAAAATAAGAAACCAATAAATACAAATCCAAGATAATCGTTTTCTTTCCATGAAATGAGCCGGTGAGAGATAGAACTTTTTTTCCCAAGACCGGAGTTTTATCTTTGACTTCTTTGTCATTGCTAAGCTACTGGAGAAGTTGCATTTGGTTATCTTGTGGAATGGGTTTGGACTCATGGTTAATTCATAAACTTAACCAATTTTCTCCAGGAATGTATTTAAGAAAATAGACTATAGCAAATGCAAGTGGTGCCAAAGGCCTAGCAAATAATCACTATTTCTGATGAAGAAACCAACTTTCATCAAAATGCAGATAAAACAAGAAATCATTCAAATAATCATTATAGAACAGATAACACAAGAAATCAGTTATCTTGTGCACACAAACCATCAAAGTACATCCTACTAACCTTAGGTGCACCGATGCCATCTTGTCTAGCTTCTATAACGTTGCCATGATGGTCAATTCTTTTCTTGATTATGTTATGTCTCTGAAAAAAAAAATAATGCATTAAAAAACAAGAAATTATGAGACTGCATTAAAATATATGGTGAGATACAAGCTTATTTACGTGACATACTGGTAAAATAATATGACAACTAATCAGAGATTCAAAGACAAAGAACTGATGCTTGCAGCACATACTATATCAAGATGTTCCTCTCCACTGATATCCATGGCATCAAGGCTGAGTATAGAGCATGGAATCGCAGGAAAACTCACATCAAACTGCATCAACAATAAAAGAATAAGGTTTGAGCCCATTGAAGAAATATGATTAAACATAGTCTAAAGGAACATAAAATTGTCGTTCACATTTACACAATTAATCAATTTCAAAAAATAACCATATTAATCGTTTTCAAATGAAATATTTCACATTAGGTAAGTAGTCCATGTACTCTCTCAACTATGTACTAATCAATCCTGCACCAACACGTCAATAAATAATATCCAGACTACAACAAAGTTCCTTGCAATTCAGGGCTAGCCAGTATTGGGAACAGGAATCAAACTAGGTAGTTTTACTCATTACTGAAATCTACTTGTCCAAGGGGTTCTTTGTCCGTTCACTAAGGTTTCACATATCAAGAATGATTATCAATCAAAGCCTTCTCTCCAGCCCTATCTTTTTGTTGAGCGACATTAAATAAAATGCTCCACAAAATACCTCTCCAAAAGAAAAGGGAACAGATAATAACTTAAAAGCTTTTGAAGGCAAACATTAAATCTAAAGCCAATGCATAGACACAAAGGAAGAGTAATCTAGCACTCTCGGCCTCATTAAAAAAACCATGATTACGTTTATGTGTATTTTTCCGCCCCTTGATGTATCTACAATGAGCTTTGTCTCGGTTTTAGCATGAAGGTATAACCCTGCAACCACACATTACAAAATGATGGTCATGAAAAGCTTCACAGATAACAAGAGTTACAAAACAACATAATATCAAAAGTTTTAAAATATATTTTCAAACTGCATAAGAGTTGAACTATAGGCTCATAAGGAAATGTAGAAAAGAATAAGTATGAAGGTTAATGGAAAGAAATAACATGGGTCAAACCTGATATTATGAACCTAACTTAAAGGGAAAACTAAATATCTTTCAAGGTCCCACAAACAAGAACAAGAAGCCCAAAATAAGTTACAACATCAATTTATCTTCATAAAAGGAGAATTGCCTTCTGATTAAACCTCATAGCACCAAGCTCCACAAGAAGAACAACACTTATTTTGGGTAACTGCCATGGCAAATGCCTTTGCATATATGAGGACCACGAAGGGGGCTTCTCCATTAGTAATGATTGTAAAAGAGGGTCTGGGTGTGAAGGAGCCAGAATTATCTTCAATTTTACAAATATCTTCAGGCCTTAATCTTCTAATCTCCTTAGTATTCTTCATTTTTAGTAATGCTTTCATGCTAGACTTTCTGGTTCTTCTCAAATAGTCTTCTCATTGTTTTTATGACAGTATTTTTTTTTTTATTGCGTACACTTAGACCCGTAATTGGGGTGCTTCTAGGATATTCTCAAGTCCATTGGGTTAAAGATTTTGATTTCTTGCCATTTTCCTGCCATGTTTGATTTTCTACTTCCATCTGCATGAGGGCCATAGCCATTACCTTTGTTAGAAGTGCACTAAATCCAATCTGCTAATTTTTCCTAGTTTAATACATTCAGTTTAAAATGGTCAACTTTGGTAATTAAATGACACTTAAAGGTGGTGAAAAAAGCAAGACATTTTAGTAACTGACTGAATTTGTCGGTTCAGTTGCATGAATCACTTCAAGCCGAGGAAAGAGTCCATACAATGTAAGTGAATTTTCCATAAAAGGCATTTGACTTGGAAGAATCAAGTTTGGTATTTCACAAATTGCTAGAATCTACATTCAAAACTTTCAATTAGAACTTGGCAATATAAATGTCACTTGAAGGAGATGAAAAAACCAGGACATTTTGGTGACTGACCAAACTTATAGGTCTTAAGTTTTATGAGTCACTTTAAGTACATTAAAGGGTCATAAAATGTTAATGAACTATCTTATGGATGAGGTCATGAAGCTTTCTATCTTAAAATTTTTCTACAAGCTTCTTTTGCCTACTTTTTTTTCTTTTTTTTTTAATAAGAAACCTGTATATATTACCAAGAAAATAAGGAAAACAACTAAGGGCTGGAGTAGAGAGAAGCGCACCCAAAAGAACTAAACAAAGGCTTTCCAGTTGCCTTTTGCCTACTTCCAATCCAGGACTCTTTTAATTTCATGGAATATGCCTTAAACTCATATTACAATTTCAAAATCAACCTCGTCAGTTCCTCCAGTCTCTAGTTTGTTTAATGTCAATATTTTTCCATAAATATTAATTTGTTTTGGCCTAAGATTTCTCAACTACATCGTTTCTTCAACTAGTAACTATGTAAAAGAAAGAGTTGAACCCCTCATATAACTTTCCACATCATCATTGAAGAGCAAAAACTTGGCAGTTTTTCAAATATGAAGAATGAACTAAGCTTCAGCGAAGAATTTCCAAGAGTGGCAAATAAATTATCCATACTTTCTTTTGCAATTGGTGTTTGGATTAGAAGCAAAAGAGAAGAGGAAGCATGGGCTTCTCTAGGAAAAGATTGAGAATACACTGGTAAATAATTCCTAGAACCATGTTACAGCCTGAGATGTTTCTATGAGTAATTGAACTGCAAGGACAAGGAAAAGGGACACAAAAAGGGACTTTTCCTCCGAGCATCTTCTCAGAACCACTGCCAGTTGAGTTGGGATAAATTCTACTGAATGAGAATTGTTATTCCCAGACCCTTAATATGATTGTCTCCCAATTACCAACGCCACATTGTTATTTAACTTCAAAGTGAACAGCCATGAGACGACAAAGGGAAAAGGAAAATCGCTAAATTAGCATCAAAATGCTCCCGCATAACAGTAAAAGCAACAACAACGTCAAATTACATCGTGATTCAACATGGAAAATGCAAACTACAACTCGAATATGCAAATTAACTTTCAGATACAGCCAAAACCACAGAGAGAGAAAAAGAAGGTGCAACACAAATCCAAACTAGAATCAAACAAACCAGGAGGGTAGACAAGACTTTCAGAAAAGAAAGAAGGGCAGGGCAGGGCAGGGCAGAACATACTTAGCTCGGAGAAGAAGAGGAAGAGCATGATGAAGGAGGAAGCGAGGGTGATTAAGCCACCGGAGAAGGTCCGCCTGTAGAAATCTTCATTGATTTTAGGGTAAGCATCCAAATTCCGAAGCTTGTTGAAGACAGAATTCATGGCTTCTACGAAGGAAAAGGGACGAACTTGGGGAAATTCCACCTCCGGAATTCGAATTTACGAACAGATTAAAAGAAGAGAAACATATATAGAATTTGTTTTGACTAAATCAAGGAGCCATCGAAGTATTGTCTGAATTCCGGAAAACTCGGCGATTACAAAGATTGTCGGACGCGATTTTGTGCTTCGTTTCGCTGTAGAATTGGGTTCTTGCTTCGCCGTATACGGCGAATTGTGTTTACCCAAACGACGACGTCTTTACATTCAGGACAAGTTTTTTTTTGTTTTTTTTTCTTTTTAGGAGTGGGGATTCCTTCGAACAACGGCATAATATACGTATAACAATATTTTAGTTTATGGTTATCAAAACAAAAAACAAAAAAAAACTATATTTTAGCTTATATTTCAAAAAAGAAAGAAAAACAATAAAAATATTTTAGTCTAGGTTTAAAACTTCTTGAAAAGATGTATTTATTAGAAAATTTAAAGAATTTAATTGAATCCTAATTTAAAAGATTTTCAAACGTGCATTTAGTACTCTATTTATAAACAACTAAATATTTACTTCAATTTAAAATGTTATTAATTAATTTATTAATATATGATATAAATTTTGTATAATTATTAATCGAAAATATTATATAATTAATGTTTTACCTGTTTTAAATTAAAAAAAAATGAGATAAGTTTAATAGTATATTTGTTAAAGTTTTTATCTAATTTTTTAAAATCTAAAAACATTTAAAATAATAAAAAAAATGTTTTCAAAATTTCATTAGATGTATCAGAGAATAAAAGAATCAGTTTTAAAAAAAAACAAATCTACGAAATAGATATTCACTTCATCCGAATTGCAAAAAAGAATAAAAAAAATCATACCAAACCAACTCTAAATATTAAATTATCAAATAAGGTTTATTTTTTCAGAAATTTTTCTTCAAGAATTATATATAAGTCAAATATTTTGTACAAATTCAAGTTATTGTAAAACAATTCAAGAAGAGTTCTTACAAGGACAAAAATACTTCTTATGAAAATTTTGGGTCGAAAAAATAAAATTTGACAGTCGAGCTGCAACTAATCAAATATTCAAAATATTTATGTTATATTTTTTTATATTTATTGTGCATTTTATAACTAAAAAATAATAAAATAAAATTTTATTTATGTTTGAAAAAAAAATATAGATACAATAACAAATAAGAATAAAAATTATGATTTTGTTAAGTAACTAGAAACAGGAACCATTACACCACAAGAACCTAAACTTTTACCAATAGTACAAAATGGATGGAGGGGAAAATAACATACACTAGATAAATTAATGGGTGACAAATTCAACTTCACAACATTCATTACAAAACTGGTGAAAAATGTGTTAGAAATGCAGCTCCATATTCACTCGAATGCAAGTTGCCAAAATATAAAAGCAAAATTGTGCCCTGTATGCCCTTCACATGTCTTGGCACAAAAATGAATAAAGTGAATATTGTATGTTCTTGTTGAAAATGTCACCAATAATCACCACAAGAACAAACTCCGTCTTTAAAATGATGGAAACGATTCGAATCCCTCACGATGATCTCTCTTTCAGTAATTTTAGATATGAACTTGGTGGCGTTGTGGCAGTCCCCACAAACTCGCAAGTTTTTGAAGATTCGAAGAGTGGTTCTCGGTGGTGTGCTGATGATCCCGAATGCCATTGCCAATCGCTCGCTATGGCTAGTGAGGATATTCTCCTTCTCATCGTCCTCCACATCCTGCAATACAAACTTATAATCTGAAACATAACCAAGACTCTTCATTTTAGCAGTCAGAAGCCTCAATTCTTTGTATATCTCCTCACATTTTGGATGTGTCTGGTTGCCAGTGTAAAACACGTCAATTTTCTTGTTCACTTCAATTGAACTCCACCCAGGAGTCTTCTTCAATCCCCGGTCTCTAGCTAACGATCGTACTTCGTCAACTCCTTCCCATTGTCCGAGTTTCGCGTAAATATTCGATAACAAAACGTAGTAGCCAACATTCTTCGATTCAACCTCCAACAAGTGATCTGAAACAGTTCTAACCAGCTCTACATTCTCATGTATCCTACAAGCACCAAGAAGTGCACCCCACACAGACGCATCAGGCTGTATTGGCATATTCCTAACAAAATTATAAGCCTTTTCGAGATGGCCAGCTCTACCAAACAAATCGACCATGCAACCGTAATGCTTCAAGCTAGGACTTATCCCATACGTCTCTTGCATCGACTGGAAGCACCATTGACCCTCATCAACCAAACCTGAGTGGCTACAAGCAGACAATAGAGATACAAAAGTGATGTGATCGGGCTTCACACCCTCAGTTTGCATTTCCCGAAATAACTCAACAGCTTTTAAACCGTTTCCATGGAGTCCATGACATGATATGATCGCATTCCAAGAAACCGAACTTTTATGCGGTACTTCATAGAATAAAGACATTGCATCATTTAATCTTCCACATTTTCCATACATATCAATAAGACAAGTATCCACAAAGATGTCAAAGTACAGACAATTTTTTATCAGCTGACCATGAGTTTTCATCCCTTGTTTCAAGTCTCCCATTTGGGAGTATGCTGTTAGAATGCTCACCCAAGTGCCCTGATTAGGAACTGCATCACTATACTCTTTCATCAAATGATACACTTCAATTGCCTCATTTGCGAAACCGTTTTGAGAATAACCTGTAATCAAACTATTCCATGTGACCACATCTTTGATGTGAAGTCCTTCGAAAACTTTTTGTGCAGAACCTATAAAACCCAGTTTAGCATACATGTCTATAATTGCATTACCAATGACAACATCTTGTAGAAACCAACCTCTCCTTGTAACAAATCCATGGATAGACCTACTGCTTAAAAAATTTCCAAGTTCAGCAGCTACGGAAGCCAAACTCACAAGTGTCAACAAGTCGGGCACAATCCCGATTGCATGCATCTTTTGATACACTTCAAGTGCCACCATTGGCTCTTTATTCTGCTCAAATGCAGCAATCAATGAGTTCCAAGATACAACATCCCTAACTTCCATTTTATTGAAAATGTTGTCTGCACTTCCCAGTTCACCGAATTTGGCATACAACTTTATCAATGCATTGGACACAAACAAGTCAAATTCTAACCCGAGCTTAATGGCATAGACATGAATTAGGATGCCACTTATTATGTCATCCAACTGCGCACAAATAGGAAGTAGACTTGAGATTGTTACTTTATCCATAGTCACACTCTTAAGTCGCATCTCATCAAAGACTTCCAATGCCTCCACAATTTTACCATTAAGACAAAACCCTGAAATCATTGCATTCCAAGTACCAATATCTCGAATTGTCATGTTATCAAATAAGTTACAGGCTAAGCTGATAAAGCCAAACCGAGAATAAAAATGGATCAAAGAAGCAGCAACAAATACATCACATTCAAAACCCAACTTTAGAACCAAGCAATGTATCTTCTTCCCATCATCTAGATTTCCACATGCTCTTATTACAGGAGGAAATGTGTAATAATCAGGCTGAAGAATAGAAGTTGACATAAATTCATAGAAACAATCTACAGCTTCATGGAAGTGGCCGATTCGTGCATATGCAGATATCATACAATTCCATGTATAGACATCTTTTGCCTGAATCTGGTCAAAAGTACGGCGAGAGGATGATATGTCGCCAAGAAAAGCATAAAGATTGGTGAGTTTAGCAGAAAGAAATATGCTCTGAGCCTTCCCAGACACCACAAGTAGGGTATGAAGATGCTTAGCGAGGTGTACTTTTGTGCAGCGAAGGAATAGTCGATTGAAATCAATTTCCTTTTCCTCATTTTCAACTCCATCTAAGTAATACTTGGGAGTAGTTGTTTCTGTAGAATACAGAGAGCAACAAGCTTGGAATGAAGGCCTGAACAAGGAAATCTGCCTCCATTTACATGGCAGTAGTCTGAGAACAAGAGAAATAGAAAAATAGTTTTTGTCAATAGCTTTCAGTAATTGAAAAGCAACTATCCAGAATCAAAGCTGGTGAGTAGAAAAAGAAACAAGAAACGGTTGCAAAAAAATTTTGAGGATTAAGAAGTAAAGAATCTCAAGTGATTCATAAATTTCTCGAAGATAGACACCATGCTAAATGTTATGTTCAATTGTTGGATGATAAGTATAAGTGTTCCATGCTATTTCGGCTTACTAGCTTCAAAACATTGCACATCATAATTTCTTTTGCTTTGTTCGTTACATAGAATAATGTATTATGGATTCTAAGGAAGGACATTGGTGGGTGTGAAATCTAACAAGGAATGTTCGAGATTAGTACTTTTTGCAAATTACAAGTTAGTAATCTATCAGTGCAGAACAGGGGCAGTTTCACAGAAGATGTAATGATTAAGAACTAAACTTCAAGTCATCATTTTCGGGTATTATATTCACTCCGATCAAATCAAACGTACAAATATATATCGAAAACGCACCCTTATTAATTCCTACAATCATTGTCAACAAAAGTTTTACTTATATTTATAATGCTGTTGAAACAGGAATTCGCAACATAAAAGCTGAATTAGCGGTAGTGCACACACATATTAACAGATGGATACCTCATGCTGAAACTGATAGTTCTTTATGTAGTGGGGTCCCGTCCACAAAATTTGTATCCTAAAACGGAAGTACAAGTCAGATGAAAACTCTCATGATCACAAAACAACAAAATTGATACCCCTCTCGTAAGCACCAGGAATTCCCATTTTCACCAATTAAACCCATCTGCTATAACAGATATTAGGCACTAACTACCTAGCGTCTAATGTTATTTAAAAGACCATCAAATATCATGGAAATCTATACAGAGCTATAATACTTCTCCAGACCACTTGAGTCCACTCCCATAAGAACACGAGAGCGGAGGAAGATGAAGCATATAAGCAATTCCCGTGAGCATTACCCAAGAACCCCCGAAATTCTTCCCAAAAAACAAACCCACAATTTTTTCTTCACAGCACTCGTTTTGAGGCATACCTGAAATCGGAAATGCTCGGTGTTCAATCATATCAAGACCATAAACGTAACTTGATCGAAGTGGCACCCTCTCTTTCTCCTCTACCTGTTCTTCGGCGTCGCCTGCGTTACCCCAATCGCTGAAATCTAGCAACTTTCGTTTTACAGCTCCACGCCCCGTACTTCCTCGCATCGTAATTATCCCAGTGAATTTCCTTCTAATACTCCCAGTTTCAGGGATAGTTTCCTCGCAAAAAATTCCGAAATTGCTGAGTGAATCCTCGAATTTATCTGACACATAAGAGCTCACACGAACGAATGCACAGAAGGGTACAAAATTGGCGGGAAGATGCAAAAACACAGAGAAAAATGTGATAGGAAGCTTGTATTGAGGAGGAGAACGAGGGGTTTGTGTGGGCAAAATTGGCGAAGAAGACGAAGAGGACGGAGCAGGGGCTATATACTCTACGTTGAGTACTACTGAAAATTAGTGGGTAAACTAAAAAAAATGACCTAATTTAACAACACGTCAAAAGAATTAGGAGCAATAATGTGATATTATTCTCTGACTTTTTCATTCGTACCAATTGAGATGTCGTACCTCACTTATACAATTTTTCTTCTTAAATCCAATCTAATCAATATAGTACTTTGATCTTATTCTCACGGATTCTTCTCTCGAACAAAATGTCATTGAATCTCTCCTCAAATAGTCATCTATTCATTTAACTCTTATCCATATCAACTTCTCTTCTCCGACCCTATCTAACCAACATGGCACTTTAATCATGTTCCTACTAATCCTCCTTCGAGACAAAGTAGGGTTGAATCTCTCCTCAAATAGTTATCCATCCCTCCAACCTTATCCAGACCAACTTCTCTTCTTCGAAACACACCGCCTATTCAATATAGAACTCAACTACATCATTACATAATGACTACATTTTTCGAGTCTCGCCACTTTTTGTTTGTCATGAGCATGTCTGGTTTATGATTAGTATTTAATTTTACATCTGAAGTAGTATTAAAATAATTAAGTTAGAAAAAATAGCTTGCGATTGTGGTTGATGTTGAAGTTGGCTATAATAACAAAATTGCGAGTACGTAGTGAAGTTGAGGACAAATTTTACAAAATTTAATTGATCTGTTTTTAGTTTTTTTTCAAATAATCATTGATGGGTTCGAAAAAATACTTTATTTAAGTCACCTTCTCAGTCTTTAACTAATGAGACTATTGGCCAAAAGCGAACATAGCTCAATGGTAATTAACATATATCTCCAACCAAGAAGTTGTCCCCACCCTAACATGTTGTACTAAAAAAAAACTAACGACACTATAGATAATGCAAAAATTTATGTAAACAAGTTGTTTCGAATTTATTATTAATAATACGTCTTACTAGTTACCGAGGAAATTGTTGAAAAAAAACAATAATTATTGAAGATCATTATATAATTTTGTTATTTTTATAGTTATGAAAAATAATTTTTAATATATATAAAAAGATGTGTAGAAATGGTGCCATTTGTTGAAATAGGGTAAAAGAATCTAAAATAGTATTCCTTCAAACCCTAAATAAATATTACCAAACAATATTTTTTCCCCCTAAATAAGGAGTAGGGAAGGAAAAACACCCTAAATATTTATTGAAAAAAAAAAGAATCAGTTATCTTTATACCACATGATACAATACATCATTTGTATTCTCTAAAATTGTTCTTACAATTATTGCAATTACAATGAAAAATGGTATTAACAATCCAAATCACGCCGATGTAAACATAGCTCAATTGAACCTACCTCATTATACTGAACTAAAAAATTTAATAACAGACTAGCCCAAAGTTCAAGTAATTCACCAGAATTGCACAAAAACCCACAATTTATTCATCTAAATAGAGAGATATACAGAGCATAATCTAAACTTTAAACCCAATTAAATCACTAAAACATACAAACTAAGTTGATTTAAAATTCCATCTTCCTAACAGAGCCAAAAAAAGAAAAAAAAAAGAAATCAATCAAAAGAGAGGAGTCTTCCACCAGTTGACTGTGCTGTAGGTAAGTAACATGAGCCTGTGAACAGAGATTAGCCTATCAAAGCAATTAACTAATGCACATTAACACTTTTTTTTTGTAAATCAGTACAAGTTAACACAGGCTCTGATCTGAATACATTAGCCAAAGACGACGAGAAGATTATAGCCTATTTTAACTGGACCAACAAGGATGCATGGCAGGAACATATCACACAGATTCTAAGATCGTAAAGTTATCGAATCACACCATGCATCGGTGCCGGGCCTCACTCGTGTTATTACACAATATTTTACAGAGCTCACTGCTCATAGTTTCTTCCCATTCGCCAATGGCTTTTGATCGGCACAAGCAGCAGCAGCAACTCCACCGGTTTCGTCCTGGAAAGTTTGTTTTTCGGGTGGCACCTGCAGATTGGTGACAGAACAGTGAATCCGTTGGACAGGAAGTATGCTGATAAGGGAAATGCAAATTTGGTGGTTCATCTTCATTTCTTCAGTCCGTGTTATATCATCTTGGTATTTTTATGCAAAATTTACAAACGTGTCAAGATGATGTGGTGAGACAAACGACATCCAAGAAGAAATAAGAACCTCTTGACTGTTGAGTTTCTCAAACTGGAGATGATTCTATTCCATACAGTTCAGAAAGGAAACTGAAAGATGTGAAAAGCTTACCAGTTTGTGAGATTTCAGAGGCAAGGTGTTGCCACCAACAGGCATTATAGATGGATCCGAAGGCCGGTGAAATAGCAAGTGAGCAACGGACCGGTCTATAGGATTGGTATCAGTTTCCAGATCCAAAAATCCTCCACTCCTGTTAAAACCGAAATCCACAGTAAGAAATTTGGAAACAACTCCACAGACGGAAAAAAAAAAGATAAAAGAAGCTCAAACTCAGCTGCATTGTTCATACACACAAGAAGGGAAAAAAAAAGGCTTTCGGTTCAATATAATATAATTTTAGAACTTTATTTTCATTCTATAATCTCTTTTCAATTGTCTTTCATTCCAACTTCCTATTATCCTCATTCATATGAACTAAAGGTGGCATAAGAATACACACACTGCTGGAAGGTAATGAAAAAGAAAACTGAAGAGCGTGACTGGACAGCAACATGAAGTAAAAGCAGAAGAGTAATACTTGATAAACTATGCCCAGAAATGACAAGGTGAGTAAAAATCAAGAACTTGCCTGTTTGTGTCTTGATCAATCGACGGCGCGATTCTCACAAGTTTATCTTCTCCAATATTCTCATTAAGATTAGCACAGTTATGTCTCTGCTCTGCACTTCTAGCCAGGCGATATAGACTATCTCTTATGCATAGTTTTGTCCTAATATCCAACTGAATAAAGTGATTCCAAGCAGTTAGTTTTGAGAACAATATCACAGTATTCACATTTCATGGTAATGTTTATCATCAAATCATTTTTTAATCTTGTCGTCATGAAAAATATCCATAAACATATGGATAAACTTGTGACGTAATACATGTCAGATACATATTACATACACTGGATATGGACTATTATTTGAACACTTGAACTAAAGTGCTTGATTATTTATTTATTTTTGTTTGGAAAATATATTTTACATAAAAAAACAAATATAGGATAAAATAAAAAAAAAATTAAGAAAGAAAAGAGCATCATAACTTGTTATCTATATATATATATATATATATATATTTCCTTTTTTTAGCACACCATGTGGGGTGGGGATCGAACTCACAACCTCTTGGTTGGAGATATATGTCAATTACCAGTTAACTATGTTCACTTTGGCAACTTTTTATCTAAAGTTTTAAGCATAGAATTACAAAACAAAATGGAATTTTTTTCATACGATATTGAGTCATTTTGAAAAACCTTTGTATGTATTTGAGATTTTATTTTCAAATTCTTTTAAGTACTTGAAGTATTATGTATTTCATCACTTCTTTCATATTGTATTTTAAATATAAATATCATAAACTAAAACACAATTCTAATGAGAAAACCATGGACTAGTTAACTGCCAAAAGGAAGTAGAACTACCGGTATGGATGTAAACACCTTTTTCTTTTTTTAGATAAGAGACTTTCGCCGTGCAAAATAGACAAAGGACAATGTTTTTTTATGCAAAAAGCATGGGAAGTGTTACTACCTGCTCCATTACTTGTTGAAGCTGGCGAAAACTAGTTGCTTCCAAAGAGATTCCATCAAGCATAGTGCTCCTGCAAGACTTATCCTGTGTATTTGACGAATCTAATTCGGCTCGACTTCCTCTGCTAACTACTCCAGTTTCACTGTGACCATCATCAATATCACTTTCAGACCGTGGCACCTGCTTCCTAACTGGAAACGAAGTATTGAATGGCTCTGTGCTTGGCGTAGACATAAAAGCAAAATTCTTATTGAATGAGGATTGTAAATCCTGGTGGTACAGTTTTTCTCTGTTTTCATTTGCTGCAACTGTTGCAGCGTCAAAGGAAGGATAATGAGAGCTAGGTATAGACTGTAGTTGATTAGATGCATAAGATGACTCCTGCAGAAATAGGAGGTCGTTACTTATAGATTTTGTACAAGAAAGAGCTGAAGACACCAAAATTTGTTAATAGGCGGTACCATACTTCAGGTGCAGACACAAACTTTTGTTTGAATATCACTCAAGGAATCAGATTTAGATCCTTATTTATGCCTTGAAAACCTTGATGGGGAAGATTTTCCATAATATTACGTATTGGTCTTTATTTATGCCTTGAAAAAATTTGTCCATTACTCTTGAGTTTTCAATTTGGTCAGTTCCAGACTGATGTGCTTGGACAGTTTTTCAGTAGTAAATGATTGTCTAGTATCGATATATATAAGTTGTTGAAAGAAATCACCAATCAGGAGAAAGATAATTAATTTAGAATTGAATTTAGTTCATCTGGAAATTAAACTGGGAAAAGACAGCCTCTATACAGGTAGAAGGATAAAGATACGTGGCGATAAAATTTAAAAAAACAACTCATTATGATAATATTGATATGACCAAGACATGCCCAAAAATCCATGAAGAGATGAATAATTTAACTAAAAAATGAGCCTGGAGAGTTTATACTACAGTACTTCACATTGCATGAAACTCTATATGTTTCCTTCTTCACTTCTCTCTTACGATGATTATAACAAGCTTGGGGAGTGAAGACATCAATTAAAAATAAAATGGATTATTCTTGGTTTGAGGATGAAGAATAGATTCATAAAAGTTAGAATCGAGCAAAATTTAGCAGAAGAGTAACTAACCTGGTTTTTAGGCATCAAGTCACCTCTAGAATTGCTTTTTATATCTGACACGTCAGCAGCTGATAAGTGACTAATAGCAGGAGATTCACCAATATCTGTAATCCCATCATTCACCTTGCACCCCGTTAAAATATTATTTCTGTTCAAACCATCAGATGAAGGGTCTGAATTCACAGGATTAGAATCTTCATTAAATTCCGATGCATCATTTATTGTACTTCCTTCACAGCATGAAAATTTGAAGTTTGGCTTTGATGGATCTTCAAGTTTTTCAGAGCCATGGGATGGGGAAAACCAGCGTAGGTCATCTTCATTGCTTAGATTCCCAAGCCCAAATGTTGAATCACAATTTCTGTATTCATGTTTAAATCACAATCACAGGGAGATTCAAATAATTCAGCCTACATATTCTAAACAAATGTAAAAACAACTAATGAGGAAGGTCTGAACATTACCTAAACATCCTATCGACGTCCTCAAAGCTTCCTATATCTTGCCACCCATAATACAAAAGATCAGTATTTTCTTTGTTTTCATGATCATCGTCAAGAAAACTAATATCATTATCTGTTTGGGACATGTGACTGACAGAATATTGATACATGTCATTCTCGTCTGCAGCACTATTGTCGGTTACAATACGATCATCTGTGCAGTAATCAAGATCTGTACCCACGCCTGTTTTAAAGCCATTGTTTGACATACTAAGACTACTTGATTCCATTTTCACATCTTTGAATGAGTCACTGTTTAATGAAGAAGGAACACCATCAGGTGTTTGAGACCATGAATCTTTTTCCAAGACTGTATCCTTCATGATCGATGTCTGTATTCTTACTTTCTCCCTATCATGAAAACTGAACTTAGTTGCAGAGTAAGGATCATTTGTAAAGCCAACAACTTCACGCCTAGATTTCTCGAGACTACCACTCTGTACTTCAAATAGATCCCAAAGTTCACCAATATGAGGCACTATATAATCATCAATCTCAGTGAAATCATTCCAAATATTGTCCTTGAGCTGCAACACCATTACCAGATGGTAAGCTAAGAGACAGGAGAATTTATAATAAAAGAAAAATATATCTTTTTCCCTTACACTATACAAATGTTCGGATAAAAGTTGCTATATCACAGAATAGTCAGAAGCCAATTCAACATGCATTAGACAGTTGAACTAATTACAAAATACCAGCACTACGTGCAGAAAGGAAATTGAGTCGTTAAAATTGATGGTTACATGGGTAACCCCTTCTTCTAGCAAATAGAGTTACTTTTGTAGCACAGCTTCAAAACCAAACCACAAGACATAAATACATTCCATAAAATGGTTAAATGAAGTTTAAATTCTATTTTGTCTATGGACTTTCACACTTATTCCATTCAATCCTTGAAATTACAAATGTTCCATTTCAGTTCAAGGATTTTTGCATAAACAAACCATTTACATCCTTATCATTAATTTTTTAGAAATCATTTGGACTCTTAACCACTTCATATTGCTCCCACAGGATACAGTCAATGATGATTATTAACAGGGAAATGACTGCTAAATTCTTAAATTCTCAACTATCATCTAAAACATCATGTACATCAGTATAATAAAGGGTAGAAGGATCTATCACAAACTGTTCAAATTATTGCTTCATTTGCTCCAGGAAAATAAGTAATGCCACATATCCACCTTCAGTTAAGAGTTTCTAATCTTAGATTTAATTTATAGGACTTTTGGTTTTGAATTTCTTTTAATCAATAGTTCGATACTTACTGGAAAAAAAAAGAATAATACAGAGCCCATCTATAAGCGAGAGCTTTGCATAGACTATTGACCATTAGTTACTTGTATCTATGGAGTACAAAACAAGGAGAGATTGTTAGAGTGAATCAGTGATAATTTTCAGCCTTCAATGTGGATCAAGAAGCTAAAGTCAATCTCTTTTTTAACTGTAGAAGTAACAAAATATGCAGAGACATGTTGATTAAGAATGAAGCAGATTTAAGGATTTCAGAATACCGGTTACTAATGATGTCGCCTTCACCTCAATGGCAACATCAGCTACACCAACTTATGACCAACCACAAGATCAGCAAATACCAGTGATATCTTATTATACTACTGCATCCATTTCATGGTCCTTAGCTTGAACTTGAATTGCAAAAGTCCTGTTAATAAGATGATATTATATGGATGGGTCTAGAGTTGGAATTAGAAAAAGGGACATTCATTTGGAAGCCAAATTGGCAATACAAAACAGATACATACCTCTGAAGACACAATAGTAACCAAAAAAGGTTACTGCTATATAAGCAAATCTACAAGATTACTTAGCTTTGCACCAACAATTTGGGCCTCTAGCCAAATGCATATAAGTAAAATATACATACATACATATACATATACACACATACTACACGGGCCTATACTACAAGATTTGCTCAAATCTTCATAGGGAAAGATAGTGACACAAATAGAAGATAAAATAAATTGAAAAAAAAAAATTGATCAACATGATTTGTTTCAAGCTAAATGCACCCAAAAATCTCTAAGAAATTGTCCAAAATCAAATATGTAAACTGGCACGATCCATATTGTCAATAACACTCTTAAATAGACTCACACTAATCTCAAAAGCACCGCACACTAAGGCGTTCAATAGAATACAAGACAACCTTTGGATAAGGTCAATAGTTTTAATCCTCCCATGTTAAACATGTCAGCAAAAAAAAAATAAAAAAATTGACCTTGTAGATCCTAACCCTTTAAAGTGAGCAGAACAAAAGGGTGCAAAAGGGTGAGAATCACAAGAAAGAGAGAATAGGAAACTAAGAATATCCCCTTAAGGGTCCACATACTAGCATACATAGCCCTAGGGAAAATAGAAGTTAGTCAAAAAAAGAGAGATAGGGACGCTTGAAACCAAAGTTGTGAGGTAGGCTCCACAAAACGGAAGAGGATAAAATCCACTTATGGATATTTCAAGGAAGATAGGTGATAGGTACGATGAAAGAAGGCAAATGAGACTATCCGCACCTAGCAATCCTCCAAAAAAAAGGAAGGAAAAAAGAAAGAAAAAAAAACAACCAAACAATTCCCATTAGAGAATTCCAAATGCTTAGAGAACATTGGTAACCCGACAAAATAGCATTCGAGAAAAATAGGAAGGTTTTTAGAGATGTGGAGACTTTTAGGTGGTATTGGGCCTCAGCTAGGCTTGATGTCTCCTTTTAGGTCTCTGTTACCTAGGAATTTAGTGATTGTCCTATATCTCTTGTTCTTTCGAAGTAAGGCTCTTTCTCGTATTTGTGTAGTTTGTTAGCTTTTTGTTTTGGCTCCTTTTGTCCTAG